CCTAACCCTGGTGTGTGTGTGACGTATCCTAACCCTGGTGTGTGTGTGACGTATCTCACCCTGGTGTGTGTGACGTATCCTAACCCTGGTGTGTGTGTGACGTATCTCACCCTGGTGTGTGTGTGACGTATCTCACCCTGGTGTGTGTGACGTATCCTAACCCTGGTGTGTGTGTGACGTATCTCACCCTGGTGTGTGTGTGACGTATCTCACCCTGGTGTGTGTGACGTATCTCACCCTGGTGTGTGTGTGACGTATCTCACCCTGGTGTGTGTGACGTATCCTAACCCTGGTGTGTGTGACGTATCCTAACCCTGGTGTGTGTGACGTATCCTAACCCTGGTGTGTGTGACGTATCCTAACCCTGGTGTGTGTGACGTATCCTAATCCTGGTGTGTGTGACGTATCCTAACCCTGGTGTGTGTGACGTATCCTAACCCTGGTGTGTGTGACGTATCCTAACCCTGGTGTGTGTGACGTATCCTAACCCTGGTGTGTGTGACGTATCCTAACCCTGGTGTGTGTGACGTATCCTAACCCTGGTGTGTGTGACGTATCCTAACCCTGGTGTGTGTGACGTATCCTAACCCTGGTGTGTGTGACGTATCCTAACCCTGGTGTGTGTGACGTATCCTAACCCTGGTGTGTGTGACGTATCCTAACCCTGGTGTGTGTGACGTATCTCACCCTGGTGTGTGTGACGTATCCTAACCCTGGTGTGTGTGACGTATCTCACCCTGGTGTGTGTGACGTATCCTAACCCTGGTGTGTGTGACGTATCCTAACCCTGGTGTGTGTGTGACGTATCCTAACCCTGGTGTGTGTGAGACGTGTTCCATGCTGGTGTGTGTGTGTGTGTGTGTGGCCCGAGCGCATGAGTCTCCTGATCCAGGATCTGTCCTGTTTAACTCTGATGTTCTGAGACTCTCTTCCAGCACATCTGCAGTTACTGTTATACACGATATATATATATATATATTATATACTGTTATACGATCAGCTGAGAGTAATGACCTGTTCCTGACTCTCTTCCATGAGCTCGTCTCCTTCACAGATGATGTGTGTTCTCTCTCTTCTGCAGGGGCGAGCGAGTCTCGTGTCCATCTTCTGCTCAGTGGTCAGTGTAGGTCCTGTGGTCATCAGCAGCTACATCTGGCTACTGGGTCTCTGATGGACACCTGTCCGTCAAACAGCATCACAGAGGAGGAACACACACACACACACGAGACGGTGGAGGAACAAACACACACACACGAGACAGTGGAGGAACACACACACACGAGACTGTGGAGGAACACACACACGAGACTGTAGAGGAACACACACACAAGACTGTAGAGGAACACACACACACACACACACGAGACGGTGGAGGAACAAACACACACACACGAGACAGTGGAGGAACACACACACACACACACACGAGACTGTGGAGGAACACACACACGAGACTGTAGAGGAACACACACACGAGACTGTAGAGGAACACACACACACACACACACACACACACACACACACACACGAGACAGTGGAGTAACACACACACACACACACGAGACGGTGGAGGAACACACACACGAGACTGTAGAGGAACACACACACACACACACGAGACTGTAGAGGAACACACACACGAGACTGTAGAGGAACACACACACACACACACACACACACGAGACGGTGGAGGAACAAACACACACACACACGAGACTGTAGAGGAACACACACACGAGACTGTAGAGGAACACACACACACACACACACGAGACAGTGGAGTAACACACACACACACACGAGACAGTGGAGTAACACACACACACACACTCTGCTGCGCTTCTGAACCTGGCACACAGTGTAGAGATCTGTGTTTGTGTAACTACAGCTACATCGTCTGCTGGGTTTCAGTCGCTTCACACTGGCTCCAGATCAGGAGCGTTTACTCCAACAGGCTTTACATCATCAATAAAGTTTGGAGATATTTGTCCAACGAGAATATTTGACTTGTTCAGTGTCCGTCAGCAATGTGTTGAAGACTCATTTGAGTCTCTTTTTCAACTCACGTGCACTTCTGTGATACCAGTCAACCACACACACACACACACACACACACACACACACACACTGAAGCTCTCCTGCTGCTGACTGCAGGTCATTAACGGAGTTTCCTCTGAACAGCAGATTGTGAAACTACTAATAATGGGGAAACGAAGGGATTCTTGCGTAATCGCAGTGAAAGCTTCACACGACGCGGAAGCGATAAAAAAAATTCTATATTTTGAATTTTTAAGGCCAGACATAGTTTGTTGAGGTCAATTTGTAGAGAAAGACTACACGCCTGCACACATATATATTACAATGCGCATATCTATAGACTAAACACGTGACACGCATGTGCGCGCCGTCAGCGGTTTCACAGGTTTTTTGATGTTTGTGCAGAGATAACTATTTATTATTATTCAACGCCTGCACCTCGGAACCGGTTTGAAGGCTTGCGTTCTCGAGCTCCAGACTCTGCTGGAAACCCTGACGCTAACGCTAAGTTAATCACTAATGATCTTTACAACGGAAGTGAATCAATCAAAACTAACTTTATCTGGACAATAACTTTATTCTAGAGCTGCTGTAAAGCCTAAACACTGTTACTGTAATCTCCTGTTATCACTGTAAAGCTGCTGTGAACTCTATATGGTTAAAGCGCTGTATAGATGAAGGAGACTCGACTTGACAAGAGATGAGCTCAGTAACACACAGGAAGACCGATTCAGAGTCGAACCCCTTCGAGTGGCTGTGAAGCACAAGACCCAGACCGGCCCAGATCCGGCCCGTGTGGAGTCCGTGTGTGCCGGATCTGGGCCGACTCTAAGCTGCGGAAGCTCTTCTCTCTCAGCCACAGGGGGCTCTGGGTAAACGAGGAACAAGCTGGACGGAGCCGTGTGACGTAAACGAGTCCTTTTGTGAATGTTTGTCAGGAAAGACATGACACGCTGATGAACTTGAACCTTTCTGGACATTTCAAAGCCTGTTCAATTGCAACTGACCTCACGAGAGTAAACAATCATTACTCAAGTTTGATGTAATCACGATACACTACACTGGCGAACGGGTATCGCTGCTAAGCTTTCAGCAGGCCTTGCCCAAAAAGAACAATATCGGTTAAAGGGGGAATATAAACACCAAACCAACGGCAAAGAACTAGAGCAGATGAAAACCGAAATCAAAATGGTGTGCTTGAACACAGGAAGAGCTGCAGGTGCTGTCGGCCGACACGAGGAGAAGATGCAGATGTGTTCACCTTTCAGAAGGGAAAGCGAGACGAAGCAGGGCTTGCTTACCATTTTGAATATCAATCATGCTGATCACGTTCTTTTGGTGCGTTCAAGTCCTCTCGTAAAGATCGAATGTACGAGTTGAACGCGTATGAACGCCACCACAATGCACAAACACGAGTGGGAAGCCCAGGATCTTCTTCACGAGTAGTTTACGAATAGTCAGTGAATAACATGTGATGTCGTCAGGCTTTTCTATTTACAGCAGTTAGCTAATTGCCTGCACAGAATATGATGGCATTGTAATATAACAATGTAATATGTAACGATAAAGTTTGCAGTGGCTTCATAAATGAATTAAAAACTTAAACCAAAGTACACCTGATGCACATTTCTCTGTTCTTCATTTTCTAGAACTAGAGTTTAAGAACCTTGCTGTATTTTTGTGTAATTAAGAGAAAGTACACCGCCATCTTACGCCGACGAAAGTGACGCCACTCCTTCCCCCGCTCAGGTAAGAGGAGAGATGAGGCCATCAGAGTCCTCCCTCAGCGCCGCTCTACGGGCCGAACCGGCCGAAACACAGCGAGAACCGACGGCCCGGAACACACCGGGCACTCGGACACGGCTTCGTCTGTGTGTGTGTGTGTGTGTGTGTGCAATGAAAACAGATGCGATTTCTCCATAAAGACGAGGACTTTCACGTATCGACACATACTTAATACAAGTGCATGAAAATGTTGACAACTTGTTTAATAACTCATAAAACATTCTTCAAACAATAAAACAATTTAATAGTTTCTGTACAATGCTTACTAAGCAGTTTAATTCTATATAGAAAAATGCAGGAGTAGTTTAAATGACCAAACTCCTTCAAATTTAATGGCAGGTACTCTGGGAAAAATAACAGCATTCCATCCACAAATATCTTCAAGCAATAAATATGCATTTATAAATAGTGTAAATGTACATCAGGATTAGAAACAAACAAGGAAGGAAAAAAAACACAGACAATTTAAACATTATTCCTTACTCTATGTGCAACCCATTTTTCTTTGTGACTTGGCTGTTATGTTTTTCCACAATTTTATCCTTTTTCTTACCTAAGAAACAAAATATCGAACATGGTGTCAAAATAACAAGACAGGAAAAACATAAGCAGTAAAAAATTATATATATATATATTTATATATATATATCACCTAATTCTTCACATTACAAATATTTTTTGTAGATTTTGCCATCCAAAGTCATCGTAAAATCGATATCTACCATACAAAAAAGCTAGGCTAACGCTCCTTCGTGAAGGCGAACCCTTGAGACACAAGGAAAAGATTTCAGGTTTCAGCATGTTAACAAAATACAAAAAGAACGTCTCAAGTCAGTAGTCTGTAAGTGACGATGCCAGTTGTGATTGACACTATGTACAAAAACAAGTTTCCCATAATTTCATCCCAAGATTTTGTGATTAGTTTCTCACATGAAGCAGCGGCGAGCCGTGTGGAGAGGAAGTTCGCTCACTACCGCCCCCCTGCAGGCCATAACCACACACTGCAGTTATAGACCGCCCCCTGCAGGCCATAACCACACACTGCAGTTATAGACCGCCCCCTGCAGGCCATAACCACACACTGCAGTTATAGACCGGCCCCTGCAGGCCATAACCACACACTGCAGTTATAGACCGCCCCCTGCAGGCCATAACCACACACTGCAGTTATAGACCGCCCCCTGCAGGCCATAACCACACACTGCAGTTATAGACCGCCCCCTGCAGGCCATAACCACACACTGCAGTTATAGACCGGTTGCATAGACACACACAGCCGCTGGAGTCGACGGTCCCGTGTGCTCGCCAGAGACGACACCACTGTCCTGAATATCAGAAACGGTCCGTTTATAGAGTTCCTGTAATGTGATATCCACATGTAGAGCATCTTAATGTCAAGATGAAGACGAATGAAGAGCAGGAGCCTGAAAAACACAAGTTGAGCAAAGAGTGTTATTCCAAATGCTCACGTTACACACTCGCTCTCACACACACACACACACACACACACACACACACACACACAGAGCCTTCAGACGAGTCGCTCCGGATCAAAACCCTTCAAGGGAGTCGCGTTTCGGATCTAAACCCTTCAGACGAGTCGCTCCGGATCTAAACCCTTCAGACGAAACCCTTCAGACGAGTCGGTCCGGATCTAAACCCTTCAGACGAGTCGGTCCGGATCTAAACCCTTGAGGCGAGTCGGTCCGGATCTAAACCCTTCAGGCGAGTCGCTCCGGATCTAAACCCTTCAGGCGAGTCGGTCCGGATCTAAACCCTTCAGACGAGTCGCTCCGGATCTAAACCCTTTAGGCGAGTCGCTCCGGATCTAAACCCTTGAGGCGAGTCGCTCCGGATCTAAACCCTTGAGGCGAGTCGCTCTGGATCTAAACCCTTCAGACGAGTCGCTCTGGATCTAAACCCTTTAGGAGAGTCGGTCCGGATCTAAACCCTTGAGGCGAGCCGGTCCGGATCTAAACCCTTGAGGCGAGTCGCTCTGGATCTAAACCCTTCAGACGAGTCGCTCTGGATCTAAACCCTTCAGACGAGTCGCTCCGGATCTAAACCCTTGAGGCGAGTCGGTCCGGATCTAAACCCTTCAGACGAGTCGCTCCGGATCTAAACCCTTCAGGCGAGTCGGTCCGGATCTAAACCCTTCAGACGAGTCGGTCCAGATCTAAACCCTTCAGACGAGTCGCTCCGGATCTAAACCCTTCAGGCGAGTCGCTCCGGATCTAAACCCTTGAGGCGAGTCGGTCCGGATCTAAACCCTTCAGGCGAGTCGCTCCGGATCTAAACCCTTCAGGCGAGTCGGTCCGGATCTAAACCCTTCAGACGAGTCGCTCCGGATCTAAACCCTTTAGGCGAGTCGCTCCGGATCTAAACCCTTGAGGCGAGTCGCTCCGGATCTAAACCCTTGAGACGAGTCGCTCCGGATCTAAACCCTTGAGGCGAGTCGGTCCGGATCTAAACCCTTCAGACGAGTCGCTCCGGATCTAAACCCTTCAGGCGAGTCGGTCCGGATCTAAACCCTTCAGACGAGTCGGTCCAGATCTAAACCCTTCAGACGAGTCGCTCCGGATCTAAACCCTTCAGGCGAGTCGCTCCGGATCTAAACCCTTGAGGCGAGTCGGTCCGGATCTAAACCCTTCAGGCGAGTCGCTCCGGATCTAAACCCTTCAGGCGAGTCGGTCCGGATCTAAACCCTTCAGACGAGTCGCTCCGGATCTAAACCCTTTAGGCGAGTCGCTCCGGATCTAAACCCTTGAGGCGAGTCGCTCCGGATCTAAACCCTTGAGGCGAGTCGCTCCGGATCTAAACCCTTCAGACGAGTCGCTCTGGATCTAAACCCTTTAGGAGAGTCGGTCCGGATCTAAACCCTTCAGACGAGTCGCTCCGGATCTAAACCCTTCAGACGAGTCGCTCTGGATCTAAACCCTTGAGGCGAGTCGGTCCGGATCTAAACCCTTCAGACGAGTCGCTCCGGATCTAAACCCTTCAGGCGAGTCGGTCCGGATCTAAACCCTTCAGACGAGTCGGTCCAGATCTAAACCCTTCAGACGAGTCGCTCCGGATCTAAACCCTTCAGGCGAGTCGCTCCGGATCTAAACCCTTGAGACGAGTCGCTCCGGATCTAAACCCTTGAGGCGAGTCGCTCCGGATCTAAACCCTTGAGGCGAGTCGCTCCGGATCTAAACCCTTCGGACGAAACCCTTCAGACGAAACCCTTCAGACGAAACCCTTCAGACGAAACCCTTCAGACGAAACCCTTCAGACGAGTCGCTCTGGATCTAAACCCTTCAGACGAGTCGCTCCGGATCTAAACCCTTCAGGCGAGTCGCTCCGGATCTAAACCCTTCAGGCGAGTCGCTCCGGATCTAAACCCTTCAGACGAAACCCTTCAGACGAAACCCTTCAGACGAAACCCTTCAGACGAAACCCTTCAGACGAAACCCTTCAGACGAAACCCTTCAGACGAGTCGCTCTGGATCTAAACCCTTCAGACGAGTCGCTCCGGATCTAAACCCTTCAGGCGAGTCGCTCCGGATCTAAACCCTTGAGACGAGCCGCTCTGGATCTAAACCCTTCAGTCGAGTCGCTCCGGATCTAAACCCTTTAGGCGAGTCGGTCCGGATCTAAACCCTTCAGGCGAGTCGCTCCGGATCTAAACCCTTTAGGCGAGTCGGTCCGGATCTAAACCCTTCAGGCGAGTCGCTCCGGATCTAAACCCTTGAGACGAGCCGCTCCGGATCTAAACCCTTCAGACGAGTCGCTCCGGATCTAAACCCTTCAGTCGAGTCGCTCTGGATCTAAACCCTTCAGACGAGTCGCTCCGGATCTAAACCCTTTAGGCGAGTCGGTCCGGATCTAAACCCTTCAGGCGAGTCGCTCCGGATCTAAACCCTTGAGACGAGCCGCTCCGGATCTAAACCCTTTAGGCGAGTCGCTCCGGATCTAAACCCTTGAGACGAGTCGCTCCGGATCTAAACCCTTGAGACGAGCCGCTCCGGATCTAAACCCTTGAGACGAGCCGCTCCGGATCTAAACCCTTGAGGCGAGTCGCTCTGGATCTAAACCCTTTAGGCGAGTCGCTCCGGATCTAAACCCTTCATACGAGTCGCTCTGGATCTAAACCCTTTAGGCGAGTCGGTCTGGATCTAAACCCTTTAGGCGAGTCGGTCCGGATCTAAACCCTTCAGACGAGTCGCTCCGGATCTAAACCCTTCAAGGGAGTCGCTCCGGATCTAAACCCTTCAAGGGAGTCGCTCCGGATCTAAACCCTTCAGACGAGTCGCTCCGGATCTAAACCCTTCAGACAAAACCCTTCAAACGAGTCGCTCCGGATCTAAACCCTTCAGGCGAGTCGCTCCGCATCTAAACCCTTCAGACGAAACCCTTCAGACGAGTCGCTCCGGATCTAAACCCTTCAGGCGAGTCGCTCCGGATCTAAACCCTTGAGACGAGCCGCTCTGGATCTAAACCCTTCAGACGAGTCGCTCCGGATCTAAACCCTTCAGACGAGTCGCTCTGGATCTAAACCCTTGAGACGAGTCGCTCCGGATCTAAACCCTTCAGACGAGTCGGTCCGGATCTAAACCCTTGAGACGAGTCGCTCCGGATCTAAACCCTTCAGACGAGTCGCTCTGGATCTAAACCCTTTAGGCGAGTCGCTCCGGATCTAAACCCTTGAGACGAGCCGCTCCGGATCTAAACCCTTGAGACGAGCCGCTCCGGATCTAAACCCTTTAGGCGAGTCGCTCCGGATCTAAACCCTTCAGACGAGCCACTCCGGATCTAAACCCTTCAGACGAGCCACTCCGGATCTAAACCCTTCAGGCGAGTCGCTCCGGATCTAAACCCTTCAGACACACCCTGGAACAAGAATGGCATTGAAATAAAATGACTTACTAAAGAGAACTGGTCGTAAACCTGCATGAGGTCGTCCATCCGGTGCTGCTCCAACACCACGAACCCCTCCAGCTCTCCACTGCCCTTCCGAGCGCAGGCCTGACAGTGAACCACGGAGGAGCGGCGGGCGTAGCTGTCGCTTGTCACGAACAGAAGGTTAAACACCTCCACCTGCAACAACACCACCAACAGAAGGTGAAACACCTCCACCTGCAACAGAAGGTGAAACACCTCCACCTGCCCCAGCACAGCTCAGGCTGATTTCAGCACGTCGTCTCATGAGAAGAAGGGATGGGCATTTTTCAAAAATATTGTATTTGAATAATTGGAAAATTGAATATTTGAATATTCACTTATTTAAATTACGTTTAATGAGAAAGACGTTATTTTTTAAGTTTAAGGTTTAAAAAAAAAAGTTTGTCACCATTTCTGAACAAGCTAATGATTAGGCAATGTACACAACAAGCTTACGTTATATCTGAAGGTTTTCTTTTAGTTGAAAACAAACAATGTGTAAATAAAAAAATACAAAGAACAAAAGCATTGAAGCGTTGCAGAGACACGGGTTTCTAACAGCACTTTGGTCAAATAAGACTTTAAGAACAGAAAACGCAAACTTAAAGGAAGGGTACGTCTCAAAGTTATTTAGCTATCAGACACGTCATCATCTCCCTCCCTCGGGTAAGCCGGTTCAGCGGAGTTTACCTGCAGTGATGGACTCTTTCCTCAGTCGACTGCGGTTTGGGTTTCATGCGATTTCTCAGTGTGCTGGTGATATTATGATGGCGCAGTTTCATTAATTAATTTGATCAAAAGTAATTCCATTTTGTAAGATAATATTCATCAAAGTAATTCCAAACTGCGCGAGGCAGACGACGACATTATGTGATCAAATACAATCCACTCGTTAAACACGCTCCACGGCGCCACCCAGTGCATTTAATTAGAACTGAGTTATGCTTGGGATTTATCATGGACTCACTGCATTTACGGCCAGCAAAGCAACGTAGTAAAACTAGAATAGTACTTTATTTTTCTAATAATAATGACAGAGCGAACATTCGTGCACATCCCTAACGAGAGGGAACGGTTATTGGGCATCAGATCCAGGACTCACCTCACAGATGCTGCAGTAATGCGCCGGCTCGTCTCGGCCTCGTCTGTGCCAGATCGTCTCCTTCCCAGCAGCCACCAGCGCCTCTTTAATGGCCTGACACTGTTTGAGCGTCCGCAGCAAACAGAACCTGTTCACCACAGAGATTGATTACGGCTCGTTACCGACATGATAAACACGCGGACAGAGGAAACTGCACTCACTTGATCATCTCAAACAGCTTGAGGTCGGACACTTTAATGTTCCTCGCCATGTTCCAGGACAGATGCACCATGGGAACCATAGATTTGACGCTCTGGAGTTTGTTCCACTCGTAGCGTTCGACGGCCAGCTTGTACTGATAGGCTGCAGGGAGCAGACGAACACAGTCACATGACAGCGGACCACAGCGAACACGAGAGGCTAGTGGTGCCACGGATCGCAGAACTCACGGCTCGGATCAGCAGGAAAAATGGTTGGGTTTGTAACTTTGCTTTTCCTTTATTACTTAAAGCTCACTTGAAGTTCTTCGATACCACAGCAAAAACTACTAGCCTACTGTAACTGGTAAAGTTCACACATCATTAAAGACAAGTGAACAGTCAGTGATAAGAAGAACAAATACACAAATTACAAGCAGAGATGAATACTATATAACAAGCAGAGATGAATACTATATAACAAGCAGAGATGAATACTATATAACAAAGTTACAAAGTCTAACAATAGTATTCAGAAATAAATAATTAAGCCTAAATGTAAAATAACACTATTTATTCACTGTAGAAATTAAATATAGATTGTATTTTTGATGTTTTATTAACATTAATGACAGACAACAGTAGGAATATTAGGATACTGTCACTTTAAGATCGAATAAACGGACAAACATCTGGTTTCTTTCTCAATGGCAGAACCGAGAGAACACTTGCCGAGACGGGGGTTTAGACATGATTGTGTGTGTGTGTGTGTGTGTCCGTTCAAGGGCAAGGAGACGCAAAAGAGGAATCAGTTCGGTGTTCGAGCGCTGACTGAAACACCCCCCCCCCCTCCTCTCTCTCACTCTCTTTTTATCTCCCTCTCTCTCACACACTCTCACTCTCTAACCCTAACTCTCTCTAACTCTCTCCCTCTCTAACAATTCAATTCAATTCAGAAAGCTTTATTGGCATGACAAAAAAAATACATTTTGTATTGCCAAAGCATCAAAACAACATAGAAAATGATTTAGAACATTTAGTACACAAAATAATACTGATAGCATAAAACCATAATAATAAAATAAACAAAGATTAATAAATAAAATATAAAGGATTTAGAAAACATCTCTGTACAAAACAAAAACAAGCAGAAAACAAACGAACACTGAACTTGGAATTGAACATATACATGTGTGTAGGTCTTAGGCTGTGAGTGTGTGTGTGTGTGTGTGTACTGTGTAGGTCTTAGGCTGTGAGTGTGTACGTGTGTGTGTACTGTGTAGGTCTTAGGCTGTGAGTGTGTGTGTGTTTATTGGATGATCTAACACTCTCTCTCTAACTCTCTCTCTAACTCTCTCTCTAACACACACTCTCTCTCTAACTCTCTCTCTAACACTCTCTCTCTCTAACTCTCTCTCTCTCTCTCTCTCTCTCTCTCAGAGAGCACAGATAACGTGCGAGTCCCAATTTTCGCCTCCTCTTCCGCGTTTAAAATTGTTTGAATGTGTAAATTGGCAAGACAAAACGCGTCCAAGTGATAAGCGTTCACTCTATGATGGCTAACTGTAGCCAGTGATCCGCGAATCCCCAGCGTGCCGAAGCGCGGGTCAGCTGTGCGCGCCGATCGCCCGCTGCGCCGCTACATGAGGCTAGCAGGCCACGCACCTGACAGAGGGCCCACGTTCCAGGAGATGTTGTTGCACCAGCCGATGGCCTGGACCCAGTGCACCGTTCCCGTGTTCAGCCACACCAGGTCTCCGGGCCGCTGGATGAAGCGGTACACCGGCACGTTCGCCTCGTACAGGTCCTCCAGGTTCGGCCACCACGAGCCCTTCAGGAAGTTGATGTTGTTCCTGCAAAAGGGCGTCAAAAGAGACTCTAGCATAGCGATCCAAGGACCGACAACAGAAGCGGTTTCAGATCCGCCACATGATCTGACCTCCAAGTTCAACAATTAAAAATGGTCATCCATTACTCGCCCTCATGTCATTTCAAACCCGTTAGACTTTCGTTCATCTTTGAAACAAACAAATATATTTTAATGGAATCTGAGCAAGTGCATTCCCCTGAAACTGATGCTCAACACGTTCATGAAGTTCTAATCCAAGTCTCCGGAAGAGACACGATCACTTTATATGATCAGATTAAACAGGCTTTTATTCACATATAAACATTAACCAGCGAACGAACACAGATGAGGTTTGCTCTCGCCAGTTTAGCTTTCTTTTCCCGATGATCAATGCTAAAATTAAATCCGTTGACCAAATAAAGTGATCGTGTCTCTTCAGATGAATCCACTCCATTCATATGGGTTTATTTGACCATCTCTTCATGAACATTTGAAGCGTCCGAGTTTTGGGTGATCAGACTTTCACAGGAGAGAGAAATCTCTCAGATTTCATCAAGAATATCTTCATTCACTCGCCAGATCAGATTCTCGTTGGTCTTCGAAACACAAATGAGGACCATTTTCATTTTAGACGAAGCATCCTCTTAACTTTGACTCGGGCTCCTACACATTTCCATTTCAAAATCCCAAAGCCCTCTGTAGGTTTTTCAGAGCATATTTAACATAAACGCTTCATACAGAATTATTTTCAGCATTACATTTGGTTTATATTCCATATGTAAATATAGTAATTTTCTCTGTTTTTCTGTTGGTTTTCTCAAAGTGATAACATGCGCTTGCATGATGAGAAGAAACCTAAAACGCTTTATAACCTGTAGATATTTACCTCTGACACATCGGTTTGATACTGTAATCGTGGTTTGATGTTGAATAAACACAAATACCAAAGTCAAGTCTGATTTTGGTGATATTGATCAGTTGCTGGTCTGAGTGACACACATTCGACTAGTGAAGTTCAAAAGAGACTCGCTTTGCATAATAAAAATGAGTGCCTTGAATTGTGTTCAACAATCACTAAACTGTGTTTCCCATAAATGGATGTATCTGTGTGGGAAGCTCAGGGATCACCGAACCTTCGCCATGAAAACACTCTGCTTGTAAGATAAAAATTAAAAATTCTTAATTTTACATTTTACATTTTAGAGAACTGAATAGGGTCAATGGTCTGGAAACACATTTTCCATACTTATCCAGACCTGGAAATGACAAATCAAATGTCAAACTGCGTGTGAACCCTGTTGACTACAGTCGCCCTCAGACGCTCAGGAACGAGAGGTTTGAAACGTCACGTACTTCTCACAGAACTCGCTCATCACTCCCCAGTACGGCTCCGGCACGGCAAACCACTCGCAGTCGCCCGGCCCGATGTTGATGTTCACGGCACAGAAGTTATTGTGCTCCTGATGCCCTAGATATGAGCAGAGAGATCATGTGATACGAGTGGAGAGATCATGTGATACGAGCAGAGAGATCATGTGATACGAGCGGAGACATCATGTGATACGAGCGGAGACATCATGTGATATGAGCGGAGAGATCATGTGATACGAGCAGAGACATCATGTGATACGAGCGGAGAGATCATGTGATACGAGCAGAGACATCATGTGATACGAGCAGAGAGATCATGTGATACGAGCGGAGACATCATGTGATACGAGCGGAGAGATCATGTGATACGAGCAGAGAGATCATGTGATACGAGCGGAGACATCATGTGATACGAGCGGAGAGATCATGTGATACGAGCGGAGACATCATGTGATACGAGCGGAGAGATCATGTGATACGAGCGGAGAGATCATGTGATACGAGCGGAGACATCATGTGATACGAGCAGAGACATCATGTGATACGAGCAGAGAGATCATGTGATACGAGCAGAGACATCATGTGATACGAGCAGAGAGATCATGTGATACGAGCGGAGAGATCATGTGATACGAGCGGAGAGATCATGTGATACGAGCAGAGACATCATGTGATACGAGCAGAGACATCATGTGATACGAGCGGAGAGATCATGTGATACGAGCGGAGAGATCATGTGATACGAGCAGAGACATCATGTGATACGAGCGGAGAGATCATGTGATACGAGCAGAGACATCATGTGATACGAGCAGAGACATCATGTGATACGAGCGGAGAGATCATGTGATACGAGCAGAGACATCATGTGATACGAGCGGAGAGATCATGTGATACGAGCGGAGAGATCATGTGATACGAGCGGAGAGATCATGTGATACGAGCGGAGAGATCATGTGATACGAGCGGAGAGATCATGTGACTGAGCATGTCTAACGACAGCGGCTCTCACCTGGAGTTCTGCTGCCCGGGACCTTCATGAAGAGCTGGACCGTGTTCATTCCCAGAATGCTGTGGCCCACGTGACTGAGCAGGTTCCCGGCGGACACGACTCGAGCGAACGCAGGCAGTTTACTGAGTTCCTGCAGCTGCAGTTTCCACCTGCAGGGGGAGCCACAGTTCAACTCGTGCTTCACAGACTCACACACCGAAGAAGTGGTGGTGTTCCAGCCATTCAGTGAAACTGGCCTGTCATCTGTTCTCAGTTTGGAATCACTGCTTGCACATACACACACTAGAGTTCGGGTAATGAGACACTATGATGCTTATTAAATCACAATATACAAAAAACACAAAGGGTAGCCACATGCACCCGAGACTCACTTCTTTTCATCCGAGACGTCGATGTTGGTCCCAAACTTGACTTGTTTGAAAGGAGCTTTGCGGCTCCTAGAAACACTGAGCAGAATGAAGAGAGTAAGCGCGGGTTAGCATCAGCGCAGCTAAAGCATCAGCGGTTATTAAACACGTCAAACTCACGTTTCCGATGACGTGATTTCAGAGTCCGACAGCTCCTTCTGCCCCTTCTTCTCATTCTCTTCCTGAAAGCACACAAGCTCCGTCACTTACTACGCGAAATACCACAAGCAAACGATTAGTGCTAGTTTTAGAGATCGACCGATATTTAAGCATTTTCCCGTAATCAGGTATCAGTTTTGTAACATCGTATTAACCGGTAAACTGCGCCATCTTGTGGCCGTTTTGAGAATTGTGTGGCATTACTGTGTCTGAGGGGAGATCAGTCAACAACAGTTCATAGGAAAAATAACTTGCATCCCTTAATTAATAAACTTTGACAGCCATTACTGCACACATGAGAAAAGTTTTCCTGAACAAATTTTGTCTGTCTTTAGATGAACTCTAGACTTAGACTTAGTAATAAACTCTAAACATTAGATTTTGTAAAAAAAATTTGACCGTTGTTAATTTTAATGCTGTTGTTGTAAATACACTGGACAAAATTATAAACGCACCACTTGTTTTTGCTCTATTTTTCATGAGCTGAACTCAAAGATCTCAGACTTTTTCTATGTACACAAAAGGCCTATTTCTCTCAAATACATATTTAGCAGACGCTTTTATCCAAAGCGACTTACAAATTAGGACTAAATTAAGCGAGTCATCGTGAAGAAGCAAAAACAACGCAAGAAGTGCTCAAAATAGAAAGTGCAGGCCCTGCTCAGAGTCGCATACGCCAGACGAGCGAGGGTTAAAGGTGAAGGGCTCACGGAAGAGATGAGCTGAAAACATCCCAGTGTATAATTCTGTTCAGTGTATAAAGATGCAAAGGCAGTAATGTCTTTATTATTCAGCAGTTTAGAATGTTTTATGCTTTTAAAAAAATTTTTTTTTTTACATGCATTGTTTTTTTTGTTGCACTTTCAGACTATTTATTGATGTAGAAGTGTGTTTTGTTTTGTACGCAATGAGGGACTGAAATTGCAGTTTTTAATAAGTGTTAAAGGGTTAGTTCACCCAAAAATGTAAACTCTGTCAGTAATTACTCTCCCTCATGTTGTTCAACCCCGTTAGACTTTCGTTCATCTTCGGAACACAGATTAAGATATTTTTTATTAAATCTGAGAGCTGGATCACTCCTCCATAGGCTTCTCAGGGATCGAAACTGGCCGGCCCTAAAGTTATGAAAGACATCGTTAAAATAGTCCGAGTGACTACAGCGGCTCAACCTTAAGTTTATCACGCGACGAGAATACTTTTTGTGCGCAAAAAACAAACAAAAATAACGACTTTATTCAACTATTCATTTCCTTCCCTGTGGGCCTCGCGATTTCACGTAGTGAAACTGCGCAAAGCTTCTGTGTTGCACATCACACGCAGGCTCACTATTGGCCGACGCTGGTCATGTGTGTGATGCGTGTGACGTGCAACACAGAAGCTTTGCGCAGTTTCACTACGTGAAATCACGAGGCCCACAGGGAAGGAAATGAATAGTTGAATAAAGTCGTTACAAAAAGTATTCTCGTCGCGTGATAAACTTAAGGTTGAGCCGCTGTAGTCACTCGGACTATTTTAACGATGTCTTTCATAACTTTTGGGCCGGCCAGTTTCGATCCCTTAGAAGCCTATGCAGGAGTGATCCAGCTCTCAAATTTAATCACAAATATCTTAATTTGTGTTCCGAAGATGAACGACAGTCTTACGGGGATGAACCACATGAGGGCGAGTAATTACTGACAGAGTTTTCATTTTTGGGTGAAGTAACCCTTTAACACAGTTTGTTTAGTTCAATACTGTTGTTATAATTGTCAAAACCAGAAATAAAACAAATAAATATGGGTTCTGGAAGGGTTCTCTTACCCTCAGGGACTCCTGGAAGGACGAGGCCTGGTACTGGGCGTATTTGGCGATGGTGGTGTAGGACCGGGTGCCCTCGCAGCGCCACTGCTTCCTCTGCCCGCTGGAGTCCCAGTTCTCGTCGGCCGGCTGGCACAGCTGAGTGCGCACCTCCACCAGGTGCTCCGGGTTCGCCTCCACCAGCGTCTTCGTGGAGAACAGGCCCAGATCTGCAGAGAGAGAGAGCATGAAGCGCCTGGAGACCCCTTCTGACGGGTCCGCTCACCGAGACTTTGGAACGGAGGACCTGAGCAAATCAGAACTGCTCCCACAATATCCATTTTTAAAATCATTTTTATTTGATCTGGCTTATAATTCATGAGCTAAATCTGTCTTTTTATGGTTTGTTGTTTACTTGTGTCTTTGTATTTTAATTAATGGTTTTTCGTTTTGTACAGCACATAGGTCAACGGCAGTTGTTTTTAATTGTGCTTTATAAATAAATCGAATTCTGTGAACTTGTGACTCAGAAACATCTACGCATGTCCAGCTGTGTGTAGCGGTGTCCTTTATTAAACCAGCGGATCTCAACCCTTCTGACTTCAAGGACACTCTTTGTCCACTACAATATTTGAAGGCCCTCCACCAGTGGGGGAGCCAGGGGGTGGCCAGGGGTGGCCATGGCCACCCTTGGCTTAAGCTTGGCCACCCCTTTGGCCACCCCTCTCACAACTGCCGTTTCTGTCTCTGTCTCTGTCTCTCTTTTTTTTTTTTTTTTTACAAGAATTGCGTTTTTAAAACACAGAACCGTATCTTACGACCACAAAAAACGTGAGACTTTTCAGACGCGCACTCCAACTTCACCTCAGCGCCAGGCGCAAGTCAAACGAGTGCGGAAATGTACAAGTGCCGAATCAGCTTCAGCAGTGACCGGAGCATAGTAAATATAGATTTGATGTTCCTCAACTGGTGAGTTGCAAGACCGTTTTGAGTGAGTCGCATATGTCCAGTCAAAGAAACAACAACGCAATTCTCTTTTTTTCTGATTCTACTTTTATTTTGAAAGATATCTGTGTGAAAGCTTGTGACACTTCCGTCAGATGCGGAGAAAAGCGCGTTGTCCTGAATCAGTTGGCTATCTGCTGTAAGATGAATGTTGCAAGGTCAACAAATGTCAGTTAAACTAACTTTTTACTGTCCTGTCAGACGTTGTACTGTACTTGCACATCACGCGTAAATGTGGCGTGCTGTAGCCGTAGTTCTGTTGTCAATTAACTCATGAAATAATCAAAAAGGCGATACAATCTGTGTCAAAACTGCATGCATGTATGTATTTGTTATATATGCGTCACATATGTCTAGACTAAAATATTCTGCCATGTTTAAGGCACAAACTGACAGGCTATGTGTTTTTTTAATGTACAAATAAATGTGAGCACTGTGCATTTGTACAAGAAGATAGGCGGTAATTTTGCGTTAATTTGTAAAGGACAAAATAAAATGCATAATTTTTAAATCCATAAAATAACTAATTTTATATTCTGCCATTTATGTACATGTTGACTTCACATTCTTGCACATAGCGATTCAAAAGAGATGTTTCCCCCCTTTTTAATTAGGTATGATAGAACGGTTTAGATTCTTTATTTTGACTACTAATATAGAAAGTTGAAGAGTTAATTGATTATATAAAATTCAATGAAGGGTATAATCTTTGAACTACAGTAGTTATCTGCATGTCTCATCCATGAAGGTGGAACAATGTTGGGGGTTTTTGTGAACCAGAACCATGCTAACTGAGCAAGTTTACTATATGACTAAATAACTTTAGCTATAGTGTGTGTCCCCTTTATTATTATTCCTGGAGGTGGTAAATAGCTAATAATAATTTAAAAAAAATCAAATTCACTCAGTATTCCATGATTCCTAATTCACTACTCTCTCAATTAGCTACAATTGAATACAAATGAACTGTATTCAGTTGTGTAGGAACAGTCCAATAGATTATTTAAACTAATTATTATGTTAAAATAATTAAGATTTATGTGCCACCCCAGACTGTTTGCTGGCCCCTGCCTGGCCACCCCTATGAAAAAATCCTGGCTCCGCCACTGCCCTCCACTCACAATTTCTACCTAATTAAATATTTTGGATGCATGTTTGCTACAGAAAATAACCTATTACTAAGAAATATCTTGATTTTTATTTGTTTTAGCTAATTTTATTGCATTTCGAGTCATCTTGAGGCCCCTTGCTAAAACCACTGCTTTAAACGCTTCCAAATACGCTCTGCTATGACAGAACTCGACCTAAACAGAAAACCCCTGCGGCAAACATGTATGAAACAATAACAACGTGTTGTGCTAAAAATTAAGGTCTGAAATCAAGCATGTGTAGCGAGATGAGCTTTAGCAACTCACTCTGGATAAAAGCATCTGTCAAATGCATTTATGTAAAAGTAAAAAAGGTTGATATATGATAATAATAATATAGCTCATTAAATCTGATTTGATAATGTGGCAGACCAAATACAACAGAGGAAAGCTAACTCGCACGGCTTTATAACACTAGTGCGAGCTGTAAATCAGTCAGAGAGTTGTGCATTTCGTCCTTGAAATCTTTTCAACAATGGAAAGCAAAGCAAGTTTCAATCTGTTTTCTAGTTGCCATGGAAACTGCAGAGAAGTGCGTCGCTCCCACATTTGGCCTTTCAGGTGATCGTGTGTGTGTGTGTGTGTGTGAGAGAGAGAGAGTGTGTGTGAGACTGAGTGTGAGAGAGAGAGAGTGTGTGTGTGTGTGTGTGTGTGTGTGGAGGCTAAAGGCTCTGACCCAGTTTGAGGGCTCCTGCTAGGCCCCGTATGACGGTCACTGGGTTGGACTGGTTTGTGCAGAACTGGTGCAGTGGCGGGAAGAAGGCGTCTCTCTTATTCTCCAACTGAAACACATTATGAACGCATTGTCAATCACATGCAGCGTTACACATCTCCGTGCAGAAACACACACACACGCTCTCTCACTCTCACACTCACTCTCACTCACTCTCACTCACTCTCACACTCACTCTCACACTCACTCTCACACTCACTCTCACTCACTCTCACTCACTCTCACTCACTCTCACTCACTCTCACTCACTCTCACACTCACTCTCTCACTCACTCTCACTCACTCTCACACTCACTCTCACACTCACTCTCACACTCACTCTCTCACTCACTCTCACTCACTCTCACACTCACTCTCACACTCACTCTCACACTCACTCTCACACTCACTCTCACTCACTCTCACACTCACTCTCACACTCACTCTCACACTCACTCTCACTCTCACTCTCACTCTCTCTCACACTCACTCTCACTCACTCTCACACTCACTCTCACACTCACTCTCACACTCACTCTCACACTCACTCTCACACTCACTCTCACACTCACTCTCACACTCACTCTCACACTCACTCTCACACTCACTCTCACACTCACTCTAACACTCACTCTAACACTCACTCTAACACTCACTCTCACACTCACTCTCACACTCACTCTCACACTCACTCTCACTCTCACACTCACACTCACTCTAACACTCACTCTCACTCTCACACTCACACTCACACTCACTCTAACACTCACTCTCACACTCACTCTCACACTCACTCTCACACTCACTCTCACTCTCACTCTCACACTCACTCTCACACTCACTCTCACACTCACTCTCACTCTCACACTCACACTCACTCTAACACTCACTCTCACTCTCACACTCACACTCACTCTCACACTCACTCTCACACTCACTCTCACTCTCACACTCACACTCACTCTAACACTCACTCTCACTCTCACACTCACACTCACTCTAACACTCACTCTCACACTCACTCTCACACTCACTCTCACACTCACACTCACTCTCACACTCACTCTCACACTCACTCTCACTCTCACACTCACACTCACTCTAACACTCACTCTCACTCTCACACTCACACTCACTCTAACACTCACTCTCACACTCACTCTAACACTCACTCTCACACTCACTCTCACACTCACTCTCACACTCACTCTCACACTCACTCTCACTCTCACACTCACACTCACTCTCACACTCACTCTCACTCTCACACTCACACTCACTCTAACACTCACTCTCACACTCACTCTCACACTCACTCTCACTCTCACACTCACACTCACACTCACACTCACTCTCACACTCTCTCACACTCACTCTCACACTCACTCTCACTCTCACTCTAACCCTCACTCACACTCACTCTAACCCTCACTCACACTCACTCTAACGCTCTCTCTCACACTCACTCACACTCACTCTAACGCTCTCTCACACTCACTCACTCACTCTAACGCTCACACTCACTCTAACGCTCTCTCACACTCACACTCACTCTAACGCTCTCACTCACACTCACTCTAACGCTCTCTCACACTCACTCTAACGCTCTCTCACACTCACTCTAACGCTCACTCACACTCACTCTAACGCTCACTCACACGCTCTCTCTCACACTCACTCTAACGCTCTCTCACACTCACTCTAACGCTCACTCACACTCACTCTAACGCTCACTCACACGCTCTCTCTCACACTCACTCTAACGCTCACTCACACTCACTCTAACGCTCACTCACACTCACTCTAACGCTCTCTCTCACACTCACTCACACTCACTCTAACGCTCTCTCACACTCACTCTAACGCTCACACTCACTCTAACGCTCACACTCACTCTAACGCTCTCTCACACTCACACTCACTCTAACGCTCTCACTCACACTCACTCTAACGCTCTCTCACACTCACTCTAACGCTCTCTCACACTCACTCTAACGCTCACTCACACTCACTCTAACGCTCTCTCACACTCACTCTAACGCTCACTCACACTCACTCTAACGCTCACTCACACGCTCTCTCTCACACTCACTCTAACGCTCACTCACACTCACTCTAACGCTCACTCACACTCACTCTAACGCTCTCTCACACTCACTCACACTCACTCTAACGCTCTCTCACACTCACTCACACTCACTCTAACGCTCTCTCACACTCACTCACACTCACTCTAACGCTCACACTCACTCTAACGCTCACACTCACTCTAACGCTCTCTCACACTCACACTCACTCTAACGCTCTCACTCACACTCACTCTAACGCTCTCTCACACTCACTCTAACGCTCTCTCACACTCACTCTAACGCTCACTCACACTCACTCTAACGCTCTCTCACACTCACTCTAACGCTCACTCACACTCACTCTAACGCTCACTCACACGCTCTCTCTCACACTCACTCTAACGCTCACTCACACTCACTCTAACGCTCACTCACACTCACTCTAACGCTCTCTCACACTCACTCACACTCACTCTAACGCTCTCTCACACTCACTCACACTCACTCTAACGCTCTCTCACACTCACTCACACTCACTCTAACGCTCACACTCACTCTAACGCTCTCTCACACTCACACTCACGCTCTCTCACACTCACTCTAACGCTCTCTCACACTCACTCTAACGCTCACTCACACTCACGCTCACTCACACTCACTCTAACGCTCACTCACTCACACTCACTCACACTCACTCTAACGCTCTCTCACACTCACTCTAACGCTCACTCTAACGCTCACTCTAACGCTCACTCTAACGCTCACTCTAACGCTCACTCTAACGCTCACTCTAACGCTCACTCTAACGCTCACTCTAACGCTCACTCTAACGCTCACTCTAACGCTCACTCTAACGCTCACTCTAACGCTCACTCTAACGCTCACTCTAACGCTCACTCTAACGCTCACTCTAACGCTCACTCTAACGCTCACTCTAACGCTCACTCTAACGCTCACTCTAACGCTCACTCTAACGCTCACTCTGGCCTCGTTTACACTGCAGGTCTTGATGCCCAATTCTGATTTGTTGCCTATATCCGATTTTTTTGACCGCCCGTTTACACATTCTTTAAATTGTGACCCATATCCGAGTCATGTGTTTACACTTGACATAGATCCGAAACATCGCGCATGTTTAAAGGGGTCTTCTTGCACAGATGGACGAACGCGCAGCGAGATCTCAGGACTGGTGGGAACATAGCCTACAACACGATCTCATGAAAGTGAGTGTCTATAGCACGAATTTGATTTCATGTGCCATTTATACGCCAAAAATAGTTTTTGCTTGCATATGACACGCACTGTAAACGTGCGTATTAAACGCCATAAAGTGCGTATCATACACGCAAAAAACTATTTTTGGCATAAATGCCACGTGAAAAGAAAAAAATCCGTGCAATAAACGCACTTTCATGAGATCGTGGCAGGCTTTAACGAGGAGCAGTGGGTCCGAAATTTTAGGATGAGCAAGCCAACCTTTGATATGTTGTGTCAACATGTGTCCACATTCCTCTACTATACGACCACACAATGTTTCGTCAGGCCATCCGTCCCTTCGCAGATGCGCGTCGGGGTTTCTCTCGTCATTAAACCGTGGAGACGCAGCCTAATGCCTCAGAAAATCCGATCTGCCTGTTTACATGACAGTCGCATTGGCACATATCTGATTTATTTCCACATATGAACGAGGCCTGAAACCGATCTCGAAATATCCGAATGCATGCGTTTTTTTCCTGTTTACACTGTCATAGAACACATCCGATCTGTGTCGCATATGAGTAAAAAATCGGAATTGGGTCACATTTCACTGACAGTGTAAACGAGGCCTCTAACTCTCACTCTAACGCTCTCTCACACTCACTCTAACGCTCACTCTAACGCTCACTCTAACGCTCACTCTAACGCTCACTCTAACGCTCACTCTAACGCTCACTCTAACGCTCACTCTAACGCTCACTCTAACGCTCACTCTAACGCTCACTCTAACGCTCACTCTAACGCTCACTCTCTCTCACGCTCACTCTCTCTCACGCTCACTCACTCTAACGCTCACTCTAACGCTCACTCTAACGCTCACTCTCTCTCACACTCACTCTAACGCTCACTCTCTCTCACACTCACTCTAACGCTCACTCTCTCTAACGCTCACTCTCTCTAACGCTCACTCTCTCTAACGCTCACTCTCTCTAACGCTCACTCTCTCTAACGCTCACTCTAACGCTCACTCTAACGCTCACTCTAACGCTCACTCTAACGCTCACTCTAACGCTCACTCTAACGCTCACTCTAACGCTCACTCTAACGCTCACTCTAACGCTCACTCTAACGCTCACTCTAACGCTCACTCTAACGCTCACTCTAACGCTCACTCTAACGCTCACTCTAACGCGACGCTCACTCTAACGCTCACTCTAACGCTCACTCTAACGCTCACTCACACTCACTCACACTCACTCACACTCACACTCACTCTAACACTCACACTCACTCTAACGCTCACTCACACTCACTCTAACACTCACACTCACTCTAACGCTCACTCTAACGCTCACTCTAACGCTCACTCTAACGCTCACTCACACTCACCAGTGTTTCCCCTACCATTGTTTTGGGGGGGCGGCCCGCCCCCCCAAAACGACCCCCCGCCCCCCCTAAATTGCCGACGAAATCCAGTCATAAAAAAGAAATTTACTGTATAACGCGGAATTTCATGGAATTTGTCAATCTTTTGAGGAATAAATAGAAAGCAGTTTAGTGTACACTTGAAATCAAATCGCGATGTAGACAAGTGTGTGTGGATATTAAACCACAAAGACTATTTAAATACGAATCCTGCTTGTTCTGTGTGAATGAATGGTGCAGCCGACGCGCAGTTTCATTTAACGTACCGCACACACACACACACACACACACACACAAAAGCACGTGTGACGCTTGCGCTGTTTTTTGGCCTATATGAAGACACAAATGCATAAACTTCCTCTCCAGGCTCTAGATCCAC